TCCGACCAGTGTAATTAACTGTACTCTGTGTGCTTTGTGTTCAAAAAAGCATGGAAAGCGTTTCATCAGGGTCAATTCCACTCTGGGCTCGACTCTGTTGTAGAAACTGCAGAAATTGAATGGTCAGATAAGATAAGCTTGCCCCGTGTGTTGAGCACGCTTGTTGAAAGACCAGATTTTCGAGCCACAAGAAAACATTTAAATCCAAAAACAAATAATGGCTGTGCCAAGCCATGGGAGCTTGTGCCTTGGCACATGGGAGAAGTGAGGGGATAAACATCGGCTGGCCTTCCAAACATATGGTCCCACTGAGCAGGCTAGCCAATGCTGATAGGATGCCCTGAGAACACATAAAATTGCTCTGTTTCACTTTTGTGCATCACTATAACACTATTATCCTTAGAGGTCTAACATTATATTGTTATTTTCTTGCTATGCTACTTAAACATAAATAGATTTAGGGTCACTGTATTTAATTACATTTAAGTACAGCAAGTATACAAGCAGGGTTGGGAAGTAATGGAATACCGAAATACAAGTGTATGGAATGCATATTCAGAACACAGAAATCAAGCATTTGTATTCAGTCCAAGCTACATTTTGGAAGTGCTTGATTGCTAACTATCTTAAATGATCGTGCAATGCCTAAAGACATACTCAAACGAAGAACTCAATAAATGGCTCCCTTTACAAACACTGAAGTTTCTGCGAAAGTTTGACTGATAAATCATTGTGATGATCAGTTATTAATCTCAGTGTTAGTGAGCTCTGCTAAAGCCTAAGTAGACTGATAAATCACTGTGATGATCAGTTGTTAATCTCAGTGTTACTGAGCTCTGCTAAAGCCTGAGTACACTGAAAAACCAATGCGATCAGTTATTAATCTCAGTGATACTGAGCTCTGCTAAAGCCTGAGTAGACTGATAAATCAATGCATTAATCAGTTATCAAACTCAGTGTTAGTGAGCTCTTTTGAGGATGATGAAACTGAACAGTCTTCTCAGTAGTGGACATATTCATGAGCGATAAGTTTAGCATCTGTGTTGTACTGAACTAATGCATGCATTTACATATGTTATTCACTGAAAATCACATAGTTTTTCAATTTGCAAGATGTTGTTATTGGGATATTGGCAAATTGTTTGCTTAGTTCATTGAGAGAGGTGACAGTGTGCTTATGAGAGACTGAAGCAGGGTCAAGCCTAAATAATGTTGAGGAATGTACAATTTTATTTAGATAAGTGAGTTACAGTTGAAGTACATGAAGAAAATTGTCAACCAGTAATAGTGAGGAAGAATGTGAATGAAATCAAATTCACAGCAGGGTTTTTACCCATGTGCCCTCTCAATATGTACTCTACATGTATTCTGAATACCTATCATTTTTTATGGATTGTAATATATAACATTAATGAATACATTTAGGACAGTGTATTTAGCATTCACCCATCAGTGATTTTTCCGTCTGTATACAAATAAGTAAATATTGAAAGATTAGAGCAAGTTACATTTTGGTTTATTTATGTAGTACAGGAATTTAACAGATAATGCTATTGATTGATTAGTTAGGTAACCATGAAGTTAATTATTTGATTTACACTCTTTACTGGCAAATATGAGGCTGTGCTAGAGACTTTTAACTGACAAATATGTAAAGGAGGGTTTTTTTTAAGGGACAAGACTGCATACACAGTAACTTTCCATTAACTTCAAATCCTATAAAAATATCATCTCTTCTGCTTACAAGCACAAATGTGGTATTGATTGAAGGTCTAGAATCTGCACTTTTGACAGAATTTCTCCTTTTTCTCTGGAGCTACAAGCAAGAAATACAACATGCTTTTGTTATTGACAGTCATAACTTTTCAAAGAGTAAAAGGAACTTTATAAATAGCATATGCTGTCAAAAGATAACTGTGATGCTGTCAAAAGATAACTGCGACTTTGAACGGTTAAAAAGACTCTATATATAGTGATGGTGTAATCATCTCCGGCCCAGCGTGAGCCCAAAGGCTCCTTGAGCTCTACTTCAGATGCCTGTGCCAGCTCTCAGGGCTATTAGCGCGCTCTTCGGGCATTCTTGTGGGCAAGTGGGCCGTGCTCAGCGGAGAGCTTTCATCCCACTGGAATTCAGTGGTAACGTCTTCAGAGAGGAAGGATCTGGGATGTGGTGGTGGTGGTGGGGGGGGGGATTTTGCTTTGAGGGGATGAAAGAGAGAATAAAAGAAAGGAACTTTTTTGGTAGTCCAGGCAGAGAAGAAGGAGGGCGATAGGTTGGCAGGGAGGGGGGGAGTTGAAGGGGCTGTCTTGCTGCAGTTCAGGGTGCAAGCGGAACTTTCGCATTGTGCAGTATTAGCCCCACTTTTAACCACCTCTATTGTCTGTTGAGTCTAAAGGGAAGGGCCCTGGCCAAAGCGTCTGTGTAGTGGGGAGAGAAAGAGGCCGATGATCCAAGAGCAACAGAGGCCAGGGGGACAACCCCCTCTGCCTGGTTTCTCATACTTGTTTTAATGCCCTTAATTATTTGTGGCCTGCTACGAACAATGAGTGTTTGTCTGACAGCTGTTATTGAAAATGTAAACCACACCATATGACTCATGTCAATTATCAATTATGACTATTAATTTAAGACAAAAACACAAAAGTATGTAAGCGTTATCTGTGTCTTTGTACAACGTACCACAGTAATGTATCACTCTGTCATGGTATCATTTTAAACCTATTGCTCTTTATACCTATACCTATATATTTATACCTATATGTGCAGTTATATGCAAAGGTGTGGGTGCCCCAGTCACTTAATTTGTGAAAATAAGTTAACACATCCTCTACATCTAACACATTTCTGCACATTTAAATACACAATTGCTGCTTCTCTGCTGTGGGGAAAAAATAAACATATTGTTTGTTTTATTTTTCATTAATATGTAAAACTCAGCAAATATAGAAATCGCACACTAAAATGAGCAGAATATTTACTTGTAGAGGATGTGTTAACTTATTTTCACTTACAGAGAAGATTCTGAAGTCTGTTTCACAAAATTAATACTTTGTAATCCAGCCAAACTATGAGGATGGTGTTCAAACTCCAAACTATTTTTTTTTCATTTCTAAATGGCTAATTCGCCTTGGTTTCTCATCTAGCTGTGCCATCCTCAAAACCCCACCCACAGCACACAGTTTGATCTGATTGGCTTTGGCAGAGGGAGCAGGATTGTCACCGGCAGCTGCCGAGCTGTCTGCAGAGCTCACTGGTGGGGTCACAGCCGCTCCACTGTGGAAGAGCAGCCATTTCAATAACAAGCACCCGGGAGTGCGCAAGTGTTTAAAGGCCCCATAAGGTCAGCTGTGAAGAATTGATCATGCCATGCAAGCAAAGGGCCTGCCTGCCAAACTTGCCTGAATGTGAATGGGCTGTCGCTGAAAAGTGGCGGGAGTTTGACTTGACGAAAAGTCTTTTGAGGGCAATGCTCACATGTTGCATGTAAAGGCAGCTTAACTCAGTAACAATAACATACTTACATGTTAAACTTTCAGGCTACAGATTAGTGATCTATATTAAATGTCTTTACATGAGACAAGTCTGTGTGGTGAGCACACTTCTTGGAAGCAGATTATTACCAGAAACACCTGCAGACAGTGCATGCGCATGGGTGACGCATGTGAAGAGCACTAAAGAGCAATAAATCTTTGAAAGTCGACACCCACTCACTCTTTATACCCAACTGTCAACCGGAAACAAGGGCAAAAGCTAAACTGTCATGCTGTCCACCTGCAGAGTTGTTTTTTCTAGACAAGAATTTCTAAATAAATTTTTATTGCCTACAGCACCTGCTTTACTGTCTTTATATGCAGCATGAGGATGGCCAAGATTTTGATCTGCAGAACAAACAAGATTTGTTCTTTAGTAAACTGTTATTGCCTAATGCACTGCAGGCCTAACTATAGAACATGACAAAGAGCATGCAACACTTGTTGGTGACTAATAAAGCAAGTAGAATGTCCTGTGAATGTAGTGTTTCACTCATAGTGAAGACTAGAGGTTTGGAAAAAAACACAGAATGAGCTGCAGTCCGTTCTTATGATATCATCCCTGCATGCCACATAAAGGGTCTGTTTGTTAGGACACCTCTATGGAATTAATTTTGCCCCAAAGCTTTCAAATAAAATAAAATCCACAAGCAAAATTTTAAGTATCAAAATGCCCAAAATATGTGGCAAATACAAATAATGGCAGTTAAAATGATTATTATGACTACTTAATTTCACTCTTTTTTATATAAATATATTATTTAATTTGCCAGTCTGTGCTCTCATATCTCTTTCAGTCATTGCTGATACATTTTTTTAGAGTTAATTTTGTGCCACAAGTTTATAATAATTATAGTTGAACGCCCCCTTTTAAGACCCGCCCCTTGTGCCAAAAGTCTGAAACAAAAGAAAGATTCCAGAAGCAAAAAATATACAATAAAAGTCATTGAATTAAAAAAAAAGAAAGCAAAGACTGGCAACATGAATGATGCATTTATATTAAAAAAAGAGTGAAAATGAGCAGTATTCAACTGTCATTAGCAACTTTTGGCACAAAGTTAACTCCATATAGCACCCCCTCCTCCCCCCAGCACATATTCCCCCCCAAAAGTTCCCTCCACCATCTGTGGATGGCTCTCATTAGCCACTCCTCCCATTTACAACTATCGCCACCAGCGTCATTTTATTTCCCACCCGTATTCTGACAAAGCCCGTTCTTCTTCACTATTATTGGCTGGTAGTTTGCATTCACGAGCAGGAACACCTCTTATGGCTTGAACATGCCTGCCTGTGAGAGTGAGTACTCGCTAACCCCAACTCAGGAGGCGGGGCTTTCCGGAAAATGGGTGGAGGGAAAAAATCCCGACGCAATCTCATAGCACGATGCCCCTGCTGAGACCGCCCACGGGGCGTGGCTTTCCACACGCGCAGTTTATAAAAAACCCTTTTGGCCACAACGAGGAGTTTTTCCCAACATTTAAACAGGGGCAGTCACGGCACATGACAGTGTTGGCTTGGAGGCACGTCCAGATTGATGCAGTGCCTTCAGCGTCGTGTTAGAACCGCAGGCGTGTCGACATGTTGAAAAGCCACAGCAGAAAGACTCTGTTCTCTGCAGCAGGCGCGAGCGTCACCTGCCTCGCGCTGCTCCTGCTGCTCGCGCAGCGCCAGAGGAGCGCGACTGAGGGCGCGCGGAGGGAGAGAGAGGTCGGCCTGCGCTCGCTGCAGAGTCTGGGAGAAGCGGGCACGGAGGACGGGGGTCAGAGTGAGCAGGCCAGCGGGAAGAGGGGCTTTTCCGCGTACTTCTCCAAGCTGACTCGGAACAGGAGGGAGGCGGAGAGGCCCGGCGGCGCAGCGGGAGCGACAACCAGCCCTCCGCCCGCCGAGAACATCAGCGCGGATGACATCTTCATCGCCGTCAAAACCACCAAGAAGTTCCATAAGTCCAGGCTGGAGCTGCTGCTCGACACTTGGATTTCAAGGAACTTGCAGCAGGTGAGCGCGGGCTCAATTGCCTTTGATGCGGTTGTCATGGAGACCGTAATGAGCTGTTTACTCTTGCTAATTAAGTCTTTCAGGCAGCTGAGATCAAAAGCGTTTCTGTTTTAAGTTTTAAGTCAGACAAAACTTTTCTAGAACAGACACAACGTGACGTTTGCTTTGATCCTGAATGCTTGGCTCATCTTTGCGTCTTTCAAATTAAGCACTGTAAACCAATTTAAAGTGTGAATTTTGCATCTCAATAGCAAATAGGGCCACACTGTCCCAGCATGATGTCTGCTTAGGCACTATGAATGTTTAGTGTACCTTTAGTTATCTTTCCCTGCCTGCACCCCTGAGACACAGAGGGAGAACAGCTTGGAAGCCCCCCTCATCTCCTCTGCTCCTCTCTGTCTCCCTCCCCCCGCCATCGTCCCCATTGTTTGGGGTTATCCCTGTGAATGCACTAGGCCAGGGGATGCACCGCGGCTGCGGCCTCAGGGCTGTCCCCCTTCCAGGGCTAACAAAGCGTCTTTCTGAAAGGGGAAGAAAAGCTTTTTCCCAGCCCTTTGCCTAACACTCTCCATGGGAACCTGGGAGCTGTGGCAGCGGCTGGGTCAAGCGATCCAAACGGTGGGAAAAAGAAGGGCTTGGTTGAGGCGATGCTGCAAAGGAGGGGGGGGGGGTGATAGACACAAAGGCACGGCATCTGTAGGCAAGTTTCAGCACTCTGAGCGGCATGCTGAGTGGTACATACTGTGTGAAAACGGGGCCCTGAGAAAAAGGCCCCTTTTACGGTAGGCAACAAAGGCATCCGTAGCACCTCGACAGGACCGAACGCGGAGCAGTCAAAGTGATTTTGTCCACCACCTAGAGTAGTCACGCATAGTTTAGCAAAAGTCAGGTTAATTCGCCTCGGGCACTGTCGATTTGAGGCAGTTTCTCGCCCGGCTCAAAACACTGCTGCTTTCATTATTGTCATTTTAATGTTGCTGACAGGGTGGTAGCTACATCTTCTCTCTAAGTCTCTCCCTCACTCTTATCTTCTCTCCTCCTCCTCTCTCTCTGAGCACAAAGGACATGATCTCTAGGTTGCCACGAGCATCAAAGTGCAGACAGATTAGACTCCTAGACCTAGCAGGTTCTCCTAGCCTAGCAGGAGTAGCTGGCTGAATAAGAGTGAGCACAGATTTTTTTTTAAGCTCAGTTTTCTCCTCTTCCATGAAGTCATATCTCACCGCTTGTTCAGCAGAAGTTCCCAGGCTCATCAGGTCATAGTTTTCAAAATGAGCTTTGCGTTCCCAGGGCCTCTTCCTTACATTGGTTGATGTAAGTTAAGTCGGCGGCAGGGAGAGTTAACAGCAGGACTTTAATTGGGGCAGCTGCTTGAGAGAACTGCAGTCATAAAAGACCAACACAAACCCCGAATACAAGTGGGAGTTCCTGGAGGATGGGTGCCAGGTGGCTGGGCCTCAGAGAACAATAGATCCAGCCCTAATGCCAGCCATATGAATCCCTGCATTCCCAGTGTGTAAATATGGGCATCCGGGCTGAGGTTATTTCAATATTCTGCTCCGCAACACCTGAGCATGCTAAATCCCAGTAATTGTCATCTGAACTGCCTGGGGATTAGCCCAAGGTCTCTGGTGCACCAGTTGGCCTCCATCCACAATAGCTGGCACTAAATAAGTGTTTGAAGGGGGCCAAGCATTGTTTGAGGTGCAGCATGGGAACTAAGTGGCATATGTCAATTGGAGGCTACCAGCTTGACTAGCATGATAAACAGGGTCATGTGGGCCCATGATTGTTCCCTGGGCTGTATCTGGCTTCAGTCTCTGGTCATGCTGCATTGCACTCCGTACAGCTCTCTGTGGGTGAGTAACAGCTCATTCTGAAACGCTGTTTACATGTAAATAGAGCAGGTAGATTCAATCAGGACATACTGTTGATACTGTTCCTGCCGGTGACACAGCCTGGCTGGGAACCAACTCTGTTCCCGCTGAGTCTAGGTCAGCCAAATTCTGAGCTAAAATAGACATCAGACTTTAGATATCGCACAGCTTTCTTCTCAGAAGTCTTAAATAGAAACTGCAGTCTTTCACAGCTATTGTTCTTTAAGTGCACTGCAAGCCTTTTTTTATCACAATAGAGCAGATAAACTGTCCAAATAGTTTTTGATGAGTTGGTAACTTTGAATAGCTTATAATCTTTTTAGTTTGATTCACTGCTGTTTGGATTGTTTCACGCTGCTGCTCTTGGCTTCCGGTGTTTCTCTAAGTTTCCCCCCTGGAACAATGCAGCTTCCCCAGCAAGCGAGCTCTACAACAATATGTGAGGAGAACAGCCAGTGTTATGCTATCAGGTGTCCAGTTACACAGACAGGTCCAGAATGCCATAAAGCTCGACTGCCTCCATTATTTAGCACATAATTCTACCTGGACTACCCGTGCTTACTAGGGTGTGGGTGTAATCCCCCAGGTAGTGATTACTGTATTACTCTGTCCTGTTGTATTAAATAAAGGGAGGGGAGGGGTGAGGCTAGTGGGAGTCTGTGGTTTGCCCTGGCATAGACAGGAAAGTGGCCTGTGCGGGTGGCTAATGGAGGGAGGAGCGCCTATTTGTTTCCTTCCCGGGGAGCTGGAGACAGCCAGCCAGGCTCCATGCTCTTGCACTCTTTAGCCTCATGCCAGCTCCTGCAGTGGGGAGGGCCTCTCCAGTGTCCCCTTGCACAGAACCCCCCCAAAACCTCCAAGACTTTCTCACTTATGTGAAAATTTTCAAATGCAAGAGCTTTTTAGTTTACGCCAGAAGAGAAAAGCAGGCGATGAATCACCGTTTGGTGTCTGGCACGTGATTTCTTTTGATAAGTGCATAGTTCAGTTAAAGGGAGAAGCAAGAACAAAGAGCTGGCTATGTGGAACCACTCTTTAGTTAACCACCGCAGCTGTATGCAAATGTGGGCAAACATATTTCCAATTTCCCCCCAGCGAGAGCTTTACCCAGCTTGAAAACACTCCACATTGTTCAGTGGTTCAATGAGAGCAGGCTGGAGAATGCTGGGAAGGGGTGAGGGGGGTGTTGATGGAAGAGAATTAGGGGTAAATGGCCACACACACACACACACACAGGGCCTCTAATATACTAATCAGCTCTGAGGTTTCTTTCCTGTTCTCTGGTCTGGCTGTGGCTAGCCACTGCTGGCAGCTGCTTGTGTGATTAGGCCAGCCTTTCAAGGGAACTGGGCCCAAACAACATTGGCCAAATGATCCTTCAGCAGCCTTAACCGCCAGAACGTCACTATACAAACAGAGGCAGCGGGCAGTGGCCTTCTGCACCCTGCGCTGAACATCTGCTCAAAGTTTGCTCTGCAAACCGATCAAACACACTTTGGCAGCCATGAAGGTTAAAAGGGAAAAAAGCCACAGAAACGGGTTTGCATGCTTTTATGTGTGTGCAAAAGAGGACGGTTGACAAAAGCCAGTTTTGGCATGAGTTCAAGCTGCTTTTGACATCTTGAGTGTAAAAAGGAGTCAATTGGGCTCCTATTTGTGGGTGTGGGTTTAGGAGGCCATGGCCATAGAGGCCTGTTCTGACACGTGGCTGAGATAAAGCATCAGGCGGCAGGTGCCGTCTCACCTGAGTTGCAGTGTAAACAAGTTAACGGCAGTGTGTGAGGCTGAAGCCAGGATGTTCTCTTTCATCAGCCTGTGTGTGAGGAGTGTGTCGGAGAGGCCCTTCTTTTTGAGCCCGGCCTGCCGCCGCCTCGCACCTGCTGTGTCTTAGCCACCACAAAAAAGCTCCTAATCCAGCCCCCTTCTCCTCCCACCATTCTCTGTTTAACAAAACAGCGGAGGCTTGCACGTCACTCAGACTGCTACACTAGGACTTGATGCACAATGGCATAATGGTTTATCTTGACCTGCGCATTCTGTGGACTGGTTAGAGGAGAATGAAACTTGAAGGAGTGCTTTTTTTTGACTTGTGGATTAATTTCATTCCAGCATTTGCATGTGTGAAGTGGATTTGGGGGGGGGGATTCTGGGGAATGAAGAGGAGAGGGGGATAGGAGGAATAGAATGGAGCTTTTGCTGTGTATGTGTCATGGGGAGGTGTGGGGGTGAGCGGGGTAGCCTGTCCCCCCCTCTTTGTTCTGTGTCTGGGATGCTTTGGGGTTCCAGAGCAGTTTCCATGGCGAGCTTGGAAAAGCAGCAACAAGGCCTCTTTTATTCAGGGGGGTCGAGTTTGGCTTGTTTAACCGAATGAGTTTTCCATGGCGTAAATCGGCAGACAGTGGCTCCCAATCAGTCCTCCATGAGATAAATAGCATGCAAAGACACATTTAGCCCAGGCCTGGAACACACTAGTTCCTGTGCAGTTCTTGGCTTTGTTGCACTAGCTGGACTCTTGATGGACCATCATTGGGCTGCACAAAAAGTTCTGACCATCATTGGGCTGCACAAAAAGTTCTGACCATCTTGTTTTGTTTCCACAGACGTACATCTTCACAGATGGCGAGGATGAGGAGCTGAAGAAGAAAATGGGTGAGTGCACAACCTTGATGCCAACATCATGAACTAAGAGAGAGGCTGAAATTCTTGCTTTGAAACTTGCATAGTTTAAGTGAAACCAGGCCTATACTACTCAAACATCTTGCAGTAAGCTGTAGCACTGGCAGACAGTTGGTACAAAAAGTTTGACCGCTTTTTAACTCAAGTAATGGTTAGACACAGCAAAATATAAAACATTTTAACATAACACAATGTATCAAGACATTCAGTTGTTCTGAGATTTACAGGCAAGTTTAAACATGCACTAGCAAAAGAGAAAAAAGAAAAAAACAGCACTTGCAAAAATGAATGATTTAAAGAAGGGACCTGAGGAAGAATCAAACTGATAAAAAGTAAATAAATATAAAACAAGATAATGGCATTAACTCTGCTACCTACTATGCAGTTACTGTACAGTGGTTGTTTTCAGGCTCTAACTGTTGGTCTTTTTGTGCTACATACAGCTGTTTAGTATCTTAGAAGTATTGACTAAAATTATTGATCACCCATAATATGGAGAAGTGTATTGTGAAGTAGTATACCACTATAATTATAACTTGCGGTCATATTGCTTCCCCCACCGTGGTGTCAAATGATATGCATTAGTCCAGCACTAAGACTCTGAAGTGACTGTGTTGTGAGGTACTGTTTGTATACTGACTGCCTTCTCTGCCTTCTCTGCCTTCTACAGGAAGCCACGTCATCAACACCAACTGCTCTGCTGCCCACAGCCGCCAAGCTCTGTCCTGCAAGATGGCAGTGGAGTATGACAAGTTCATTGAGTCAGGCAATAAGTAAGTCGTAAATGTCTTACTATAATTGTGCTGATTGGACAAGTGTTTGGACTTCTCAGCACTCTTTTTATGCATACCTTTAACAAGATCCTGTCGTGTTTAGGTGGTTCTGCCACGTGGATGACGATAACTATGTGAACGTGAAGACCCTTGTCCAACTGCTCTCTCAGTACCCTCACACTCAAGACATGTACATTGGCAAACCCAGCTTGGACCGGCCCATCGAGGCCACTGAGAGACTTGGGGACAACAAAATGGTAAGTGAATAAAGAACATTAGAGCTTTAATAGTATAAAGAAAATACTTTATTTTCTTCTTACCCCGAATTTGGTATGATGTGTCAGGACTTAGAGTGGCTTTTTCTTGTTTTCAGCGGCCTGTTAATTTCTGGTTCGCCACTGGAGGGGCAGGTTTCTGCGTGAGCCGTGGTCTGGCTCTGAAGATGAGCCCTTGGGCAAGGTATGAATAAATTACATCTTTTGCTTGGCTCTCCTGTACAAACATTATGTAGTTTTTCACTCCTAAACATCCATAAATTGAGCCAAATCTACTATCTTTGTTCTAGTGGTGGTCATTTCATGAACACTGCAGAGAAGATCCGTCTCCCTGACGACTGCACCATCGGTTACATCATTGAGTCGGTTCTGGGGGTTCCACTTACCCGCAGCAACCTGTTCCACTCACATCTGGAGAACCTGCAACAGGTGTCCAGATCAGAAGTACACAAACAGGTGAGACTGTAGTTCTGACTAAACACTATACACTTCGAATTCTGAGGTGGTGACCTGTTGGTGTATTTGGAAACCGTTGTAATTTAAATTCCTCTATGCATCTGTTTCAGATTACATTGAGTTATGGAATGTTTGAGAACAAGAGGAATATCATCAACATGAAAGGGGCTTTCTCAGTTGAGGAGGACCCATCCAGGTAAGAGTTCTTCAAGCCTTGCAGATATTATATGTTTACCAGAGGTTCTAGACAATATAAGGATATATAAACATGCACTTTAAATTACAAAAATTAATACCCTAGGAAACCTTTCAGGCAGTGGACACAAACTCTTTGAGAGCTCCTTTCCTGCTGAGTTTGGTTCCAACCTGCATATAAAATGCTGCACTCTCCTCACCTAACACCAATGCATTTCATCCAGCCAATCAAGGGCTTCTAAGGACGTTATTTATCTAGAGCGTGGTAGATTGTGGTTGGAACTAGACTCTGCAGGAAGGTAGACCTGTAGGATTAGGGTTGGCGACCAATGCCTTAACCCTAAGGGTCTGTATGGGGCCTTAATGTAGCCTGTTATATTTTATGTGGAAATTAAATACACTTTTTTCTGTGCATAGAGCTTACTGGTCAATAATTAGCCTACACAGTATACACTAATTCATAGTAATTACTGTGTAATAAGTCTTAAGATGGCCAACTGAATAATAAGCCTAACATTCAAGGGGTTCATTCAACATCTCTCCTCTGTTCTCTCTCTTACAGGTTTAAGTCTGTGCACTGTCTGCTCTATCCAGACACTCCGTGGTGTCCTCCTCAGGTTGCCTATTAAGGTGACCAGCTCCTCTCTTGTATCCTCGTCTCAGCTGTGCCTCGGTATCTGAAAGGCACCTGGGACCAGTGTGGTATTGGCCCGTGTGGCTGCTGTGTTTTCGCTGCAGTGGAACACGGCCTCTCGTGTTTTTTTCTTACTGGGCTGCTGTGCGGCCCGCCTTTGGACGCTTCCTTCCTGCCTGGTGCCTGAGCTTCCTGTCTGCTCTCAGCACCAAGCTTTGCAGGCAATCAGCTGCGCTTTACGTCCTTCATGTTGCTTGTATCCAATTTGCAATTCTCATAGAATGTGCATTTATAACATTTTCCAAGCCGTTTTTGCCAGCTTTACACGCTTAGTTCATATTATGTTTTTTTCTCCCGTTTTCCAAATGCTATTCAGGATTATCCAATCCTTTCCCTCAGGTTTGATTTAATGGCCTAGAAAGAGGGATTTATTTATATATGGGTGCTTTTGTCTTTTCTTTTTTCTCAAGACTCCGGATAGAATAACAAGATGAAGTTTAATTCCGTTGTTGATTTCATTTTCAATTCCAGTGTTATAATCTCATTGTTACTTTTATGTGATATGATAACATTATGATTTTTTTTAAGATGTGCTGGCAATAGGCAATTTTCCTTATGTGCCACCAGGTTATATGAATCTGTGGTATGTTGGGATAAAGCACTTTTCTCCCTTACTGATCTGAAAATGATGATGACGGGATTCAAAGCTGTGTGATGTAACATAAGCCCCCCCAAGCCTTTAGATTTTATTATATTTAATGCCATTACTTGCATTCAAACAATCTTGGCATATAGTTTTATGAGATTTTAACAATCTGTTAGCTTTGCTCTGAAATATATTTAATGCAAAGTTGCACAGCTTGATTTGAACTGCTTGTTGCTCGTGTGAAGCCTCTCTTGCAAATGTTTACATGTCCTTCAAGAGTAGAACTTGCCTTAGTCACCCACTGCTCCATAGACTATAATGTGCATATTACTCATTTTTAATGTTAGGCAGCTATAATGTAGAGCAGTCATTACTGAGTTTTTCACCTTTCTGATAGTCTGCCATCTGGGCATCACTGTACCCTCTTAAAGCTTGCAGGCGTTAACACTTCACACAAGCAACAGCAGTGTTCTTTATACAGAGAACAGCTTTCTCTGTGTGGAAATTACCCATATTGGGTGCACTGTATCTTATTTTAAAGCAGTATTTATTTACTGTGCCATGTTTAAATGATTGTATTTGTACATTATTGTTTAGATGGTATATGCTTTTTTTCACCTGTGGATCAGACGTGGTTCTGATCACTTCTCAGTTTTTTGTATTGCATTGAATTGTCCTAATGGCTGTAATTTATACTCCAGTATCTGGATTCTCCAATTGTTCAAATGCCTGTCTCTCAGGGATCAGTGTCCTGACTAAGTTACCACAGGTGCCACTGTGGTAACTGTGCATTTTTAGCTTTCAAATAAAACAGCATACTCGCTGAGAAACTTTACTTGCGTCTCTATTGTTTTGCCTTGGCTGCCCTTCCACACCTCCACATTCAATTCACATTTAAACAATCCCAGTAAATATGTGGTCAAATGGACATTTTTATACAATGCAGAGAGCTAAAGAAAATAAGCCAGCATTTCAAAAGCCTGTGTCGACATCTACTTGGAATTTTCCTTTTGTTGAATTATGAGGAGGGAAAACAAGCCCTAGGTGGTTCCAAATACTGGAAGTGACCCAGTGCATTCAGATTGTGCTAATGGGGCACACCGTGGTGCACACTTCCTTACAGCAAAGTTTATTATTCCAGTTTATGATTTGTGAAAAGTCTTTGTGGCAGAACATTGCAAAATGAATCCATAAAGACAAAAATGTAATCACTACAGCAGTCATGCAAAAGCTTGTGCAACCCTGATCAAATTACATGTTTTTGTTGAGTTTTTAAGGTAAAATATGTTAAAATATCCTCTACATAGAACACACCTTTGCACATATTAATGCATAATTGCTGTTTATTTGCTGAATCTAACCCCTTACAATTAAAACATGTTAAAACTTATGCATACAACTGTATGTTAAAGTGCAGAAAGTGAAGTGCTGTATGTTCACATGGATCTTGTCATCTGTCAGGTCTCATTTTTTGCCTGTTTTAAGTGCAAACAGAAATACGAAATCAGTTCCCTATCAGTACCTTCAGTTTACAGTCTGATAGTACAGATAATAAAGTCAACAAACAAAAATGGAGCCGAGGCCCCCCTCCCCACCTGCTGGAGATTATAGATCTTGTGAGAGCTTTATTTTGACAGGAAGCCTTTCCAGTCCTTTTCGACCAGCACTCCGGATGCCATTATTGGGGTCATATTTTGATATGGCTGCAATGGTAGCATCTTCGATTCCGTGCTAACTCCAATATTTGTTGGGCTTGTGAATGCTATTGTTTTCAAGCCACTCCAGATCAAAGAGATTTGGTTTCTGACATAACCACATGTTTATGAGGACATATCCATGCCTGCTTTAATGCTGTAATGGACTTTTTCTTCTTAAGCCACTCTCTGCTTTCCCATGAGCAGTGTGGGAGATTTCTGCATTCTTGTGCATTAGTCTGACAGGAGCACAGACAGAGACTTGCCTAAAAGCAGCCAAGTTAGCAAAACATCTTCAAGCAACCCCAAATCATATTTCACACAGCCTTAGTACAAAGATCTAACAGTGTCTGCTCGTCATGTGTGGCTGTGAATGGGGAAGGAAGACTCTAGTGGCTATGTCAGCTGGGGACAGAACATCAGACACGTTTGGGTTAGTCCCCTCACCCACAACATGGAGACAGACCAAAGTAGCAATTATGGGCTCTGGTTCATCTCGCATGGTGATGCCGTTCTGAGAACTTTAGCGCCTCTGAACTGGTGCTTGGCTGAGTGCAACAAGATAAGCTCTTGTTTTATGCTATAATTTCTATAAAGAGTAGCTAACCAGAGTAGACAACTATTGTATGACAGAAAGCCTGGACACTGAGATAACACCCAGACCAAAAATACTGCACAGACGCTTATCAGTTGAGAACAAACAATGACGCCTTGCACATACACACACACTTTTTTATATAATGTCAGGACATAGGGTCATACATATGTTCTATATGGCAGCGTTTTTCAACCACTGGGCTGAGGACCACAAATAGGCTGCGAAGCACCCTTTTGTGGTCCTTGGACTTATACTGAGGGGGGTCAGTGGTCTGTAGTAGGCCTGTGATGGCACTTTGTCATAAAAATCAGTAACACTGCCTCAACAAGAACAATGACAGTTAACAACATTAATACAAGCCCCACAATAAGGGTGCATAAAGGCAGCTTCATCAGCTTCTTGTCCTTTGCCCCCACATATCACTATGCTGAAAATTTCCCAAAAATTAATGAAATGAACAATTTTAAGCAAAAACATTGAGTTTTGTGTTTTTGTGGGCCTTCATGCTTTCTAGTGATAAACAGGTGGGCCTTGAAATGATAAAGGTTGAGAACCCCTGCTATATGAGTAAGTGAAAAATAAGGCTGTCACAGAAAAGATAAAGTAACTCCTTAACAAACAGTGGGCAGATTTTATTCAAACATGTAGAGAATGGAGGGTTTTATTGTTTTATTCACATTACCCTGAGACCAAGTCAATACAGAGGCCAAATGATGTTAAGACTGAGACAAGACATGGCTAACACATGGCAATACATAAAAATGAAAAATTTTACCAGACACTCTGATGTAACCATGTGTTAGCCAATAGGAGAGAGTCTGGGACTTCAGTCAGTGACATCAGTAACAGCTTCATAAGCTTCATAACAGCACTATAACTTGCTATGATAAAATTCTGAAAATAAAGGATTATAGGATATCATAGATAATGACTGTGTCCTCAATATGACACTTGCTTGAATTTCAGTAGTTGTAAATAACTGTAAAAATGTTGCATTTACTTGTTTTTTTAAAAAATGAATCTTAGCAGGCTAGTCAAGACAGCACTGCGGGGCAATAAACAAGCAATGTCTGCTTATTAATGCATTTGTTTTTTGATAGCCTTGATAGACTGGGTGTTATCTCTTTTTCCACCAGAGAGGTCTCCAAACGCCCAAATCTTACAAAGTGCAGCTTCAGCATTTTAATCTTAGAGGTTTTGCATGCGTCTCACCAATTTTCTTGAATAGAGTAATTTTTTCTGCCCTCGTTGGGCGTGCAAACATATCCATGAGGAACAAAAAGGAAAATACAGAGTGATAAATGTATAGAAGAATGGAAGATCTATCCAAAGGAATCACTTACTCAGGAAAGTATCAACAGTAGAGCCACATTTACAGCTAATCACCAAATCTATCCATTTAGAAAATCTGAAAGTGATGCATGCAAACCATCCTATGTTAATTGATGTAGCCATTTATGCCAGGCATGTGGCAAGCAGTATCATTATACACAATTTAGTTTCACATATTTACTTGTTTTTTGTTGCCTGTCCCTATAGAAGCATGAAAAAAAGTAAAGGTTTAGTGAGGCATGAAAATTGGTTGGTGGGGCATTGCCTCACCTTTAATGGGGCGTGAAAATTGGTTGGTGGGGCATTGCCTCACTATTAGTGGAGCATGAAGACTGGTTGGTGGGGCATTGTCTCACCAAATTACTCCCTGATGCTGAGCAGAAACTTCACCAACAGTTGTGATCAAGCTGATTTGAGAACCACAGGTCTACATGCTGATGACTGTCAACTGTGATTTAAATGAATGTTTTAAGCAGTCCAACAATGTATATGCATGTGTGCATGGAAAATTGAGAATCTCACTCCAGTTACTTGAAAATCTCACTCCAGTCACCTCACCAAAGTTGACACCCCTGCAAAACGTCTTTGTGAGTGTAGCCTTCAACCCCAGAAACCAAAAAGAAATGCTTTTGCTCTTTCAATACAAAAAAATGTTTTTGTGAAAACAAAAGTCAGGATCATCTTTTTGTCTATGACAGTGTAGGTTAGCCTTGTGTTTACAGTAGTTTTCCTACAAATCAGAATCCTAAAGATCTACGAAAACAAAGACACACCCCATGTCTTGACAGTGATTTAAATGACAGTAATTTAAACTACCAGAATGCCTTGCAGCTTTCAGAACTGGTAATAAAGTCACTTCCTTTGCAGCAAACACAGCTGGGCCGACATTATGGATACACTCACACCACTGCCAGTTTTGCTCTCTCTGGGCCTGGATTTTGGCTATGCCACCCACTTGCGGTAACTGTATGGTAGAACTGGCAGCGCAGAGAACGGCTTTAAGGGAACACAGTTCATTTCCGTTCTCATCCACCCTTTAAATTCTTATCTGTAATTAGTGCCTAGAGCTCTGTTATGACTGCTTCTGCAGCGATGCGTGAAACAGGCAGACCACACAATGCCTCGGCTCTGGCTGACTGGGACAGGGGATGTTGTCCAGTCATTTATTTCACCTCACAAAAGCCCAGTAA